GAGGACGACGTTTCGAAAGTCATCTGCCTTTCGAAACGTCGTCCTCTACATTTGTAGGTTTCTACAACAGGCAGTTGTTTTCCATTTGAAACTTAGATTCATTATGAATACTCTGCCTAAACAACCTATCATGATTAAAATAAATTTGTTGTCATCCAACAACAACATTACTTGAGTTTAAAAATATTTTGCTTGTTTTTTCCAATTGTTTCTAAATATTATTTCCAAAGGGATCACATTGTATGCAGAAAACAGTGACGGAGATTTTCTGTGCTTTTTTCAGTTTCATAGTCACCAGATATTCCATATATTGGTCATAGCTGCAGCATTTGTCCATTACCATGGAATATCGGAAATGGCCATGTATCGACTGACACTTGGAGACTGTCCTCCGGAACAACCTTTAATCGAAGATGATGAACATTATGCTACATTCTAGATGTACTAAATGTGGCAGTACAATATGCTAAATGTGACAGTGTTTAGTTTTTTTTTACTTGCTTTTCGTACTACCCGAGATGTGTGAAATATACTCTTAGTTTTATGTGTTGCATAAGCGAAAATCAGTTAAAACAGATGGGAGTAGACGAGTTGTGTGAAATTGGAAAATTTATTTACACAATGACTCCCTGCTAGATTTCTTACTTAGTTTTGTTTTGCAAAATTGCTAATACTGCCACGAATTCTGTAAGAAACATTGGTTGTTTTAGTGCATTCCATAAATTCATCAATACTCACCAGTTACTAAGAGCATTTTTGACACATTTTTGGAATTCTAAAGAAAATAGTTCCATTTTTTTTTAACAACATCAAAGCCTATCCCTCTGAAAGCATTTAAAGTTTTTTTAATGCACTGTATTTGGAAATTCTTCAGTACTGCTGATAATTTTAGGCGTTAATGATTCATTTGCATATGAGAAACCTAGATGTGTATTTTTAAATTACCACAAGTAGATTCTTAAAAATACTAACTATACAATCTCTAACACCTCACTGAAGGAATAGCGAGATTCATTAACACAATACTCATGTGTTGGAGATAATTCTATAAAAAGCTGGGAGTATATACTATTTGTGTGATACTTCCATTAGAAACTATGGAACTGACAGGATTTTTGTGATAAAGAACTGAACATATTTGTTCAAGATATTGTAAATCTCTTGTGTGTAAGTTTGTAATATCTTATTTGTAAAAGTATATATAGTTTTTGTTTGTTTTTACAGTATAAAATTCTCCAGTGTGACGTTATACATAAACTTTTAGTGTAGTTGTGAATATGGATTTATATTTTAAAGTCGTTCTTATATGATTAATTTCCTAAGTAGTTTATTTATTTATTTTCAGCCTTACGCTTAAGATTTTATTTTTATGTTGACATTTAAAAGTTCTTTTATGCATTTATTGTTTGTTTAGTACCACTGTTCATCTGTGATTGAAATGGGAATTCACATTTCATTAGTGTACAAGTAAAATTTGTTTAATATATATCACAAATATTTAAATTTATTTTGTGCTAGATTAGTGAGGCATAGAGAATAGTGATTTCTAGTGAAAGATGTACAGTCTTTATATTTATTTAAATATTCATTTTGTAGGGAAACATGCTTTTGTCTAGCAATGAAGCTGTAAAATTGTTTTGAAATGGAAGTGTGCAATAGAAGCTGAAAGCAGGGAGAATGTGAAACAATTAATTCCTCAGATGTTGTATTTTGTGAACAACTCTATATTATACTTACTATTGAATACATTGAGTCATTATGGCATTAGTTTAATATACTTTGTATTACGTATGTATATGTGAATTGTAATTTAGAAGTTTTACCTTATTGATACAAACTGTTTCCAGTGTCATGATTGAACAATGGTTATGAAAAGAAATGTTCGTTTTATGTATTAGTAGTTTGTATTGAAGTTAAAGATACAAACATTCTGGTAACATTGGTCAAAATTAAAATTTTGATTTGAAAGTAAAAACCATTCTTCTGACTTGTAGTTTGCAGTATGAATTTTATTGACACAAACTTAGCCAGTAAAACTAGTATTTAGCAGTTTTATACCATTTTCATTCAGTAATAATTCTTCTTTCTTATATTTACACGTTTGTCAGTTTATACCACAACCTTAAGCTCTGCTGTTTATATTTCATACTTGACATGCTAGTGAAGACAACAGTTACAAAAACTAAAGATGGTGTTTAGTGTTTTGCCTCATCTGTTTGAAGATGACAGTGATATAATGATTCTAGCAGCAGTCCTTACTGCTGAGTATATTACGAAAGCTATAAATGAATCCGATACCATATCTTACTTCCTCTCGCAAATAGTTTTTCTCGACTAGCGCTGCCCTCTATCGGCGCAAATGTTCAACGCATGCCACTAGCCTTCCACCTCTCGCTTATGCACATTCACATGCAAATAGTCATGCACCAATAGGAACGTGACACCACTCCTATTGTATCCAGCGCCCTCTTCACATCTGCACTCGTTAATCACTCCTCAATTGGCAGTAGTAGTATAGTATTGTATAGATGTGCTGTTTTTTGCTCGCAGATTTGTAAACATTTTCCGTTATACTATTGGCTTGGTTTTTTTTTTTACTCTTTATTTAAATTTTCGCGTTATGGTATCGTGAAAAGTTGCTGAGACGTTCCTCTTTTCTACCATCCTCCGGATGTACATTCACGGTGTTTGTTGGAGATGGTCCAGCTAAGTAAATCCTCACATGTGTGCTGGCCGGTATCCCTCATCCTACCACGGACTGGGTGACAAATGTCTATTGCCGCCAGGTTTTGGACTGGAGATTAACCCCAGGTTTGCGGTCCCTCTTTCTACCATCTGCTGAATCCTAACAGATCTGGTGTTGGTTGTAGCTGGATGCAGCACGTTTTTCTGCTTGTGTACGACCAGATATCCTCCTCCTACCGCAGATGGAAGTACCATACTCATTGCCGTCAGGTTTTGGACCGGAGATGTCATCCCGCCGGGGATTTCCATTTTCCTACTATCTGCTGGATCTCCGGTTCTGGCAGATCTGGTGTTGGTTGTGTTGGACATGCGCGTAAGTGGAGACGGATTTTGGTACGGATGGCTCGTCTTCCCAACCAATTCCCGTTTCGTGGTGAATGTTCTAACAAACTGAGCACGTGAGGGTTTCGTGATTCGCGAGCGGAGCAGGTGAGCGTGGGAATGAACAAAAGTGCAATTCGCTGCAATTATATCGAGAAAAAAATAGCATATATGACAATACATTTGGAATTTTATACCAATACAATACATGCAATGTTTGAAGTTATGAAAAAATGTATGCCTTTTACCCCTTTAAACTGTCCAAGTAAATTTAATTTGACAACATAAATCCATTGTTGACTACATGATATTTCTTCTAGTACTGATAAGATATTGAGATATTGAAATAACTCAAAACCTAGAGGTGATGGACAAATTTTAACTACATTTTTGAAATCGGCACCATCAAATTATCCCGAATGACTTGAGTTTTCTCCAGTAGCAAATTTTTTGTTGTCCAAAGTTATTGTTTAGTTGCGACGTGTACATCATTAGAGTTACTGTACTATTTCATAAGGAACCTTTATTGTGGTGCAAAGTTGTTTGTCAAGTGATGATTAACCCTTACAAGACTCACCATGTTCGGTTGTAATCCAAACCGATTTCCCGAGGAAAAATTCATAAAAAGTTATGGAAATGTGCTTTGTTAAAAACATACAAGTTTACAAAAATTATCTAGGTACAATATAGGTGGCGTGATCGTTAGCTGTCATTGTCCAACCTAAAGGTTATTTCTATCCTTTTGAAGTAAATAATTTACAAGTTTATTACATTCCAGAACTTTCTAAAGATTGTGATTTAACTCTATTCTGTAGTATGTTACGGGAAATGGTTATATTGCTAATTAACAGATACCAATATCAAAATATATTCCTTTCATTTAAAAGGTAGAATGAAGCAATGTGTGCTTTGACATTTATATTCTCTTTGACATTCTGGGTTTAGCAAAAACGACGAGATTTAAATGCCACTTTTTGTAATGGGATGTAATCATGACAATTCTTTAGAAATTAATTGTTTGTTTTTGGATTTCGCTCAAACTAGACGAGAGCTATCTGCGTTAGCTGTCCCTAATTTAGCAGTGTAAGACTAAAGGGAAGGCAGCTAGTCATCACCGCCAGCTCTTGGGCTTCTCTTTTACTAACCAATAGTGGGATTCACCGTCATATTATAACGCCCCACGGCTGAAAGGGCGAGCATGTTTGGTGTGACGACCCCGCAGATTGCGAATCGAACGCCCTAACCACCTGGCCATGCCGGGCTAGAAATTAATAAACAGATTGTTATATTGTTCACATAAAAAGAAGCTTGATATTCCACAGACAGTGAGGTACCAATTTTTGTCAGTAATAACACTAATCTATTCGTGCTTAGATATTCGAAAAACGTTTAGGAACGTAAAAAAATGTGGGGTAACTTAATATAACGATTACTTTTCATGCCTAAAACAGTTTTATATTTTTGTTTTACATAAAATAATATACTACAATAAGAGGAAACGTTCTTAGTATAAAAACTACTTTCAGATACATGTATATTTTTGTTGCTCATCATGATTTATAAGAAGGATAATTAACCACAACAGGAGGCTCGGCTATGGAAACGTTAGGTTACAGTTTCCTTTTTTTTTATCCTGGAGAAATATTTCATGATCGTGGTACTCTGTAAAACCTTAAAATAATATTTTACATTCTAAACTTCTTTCTCTTGTAATACGTCCAGTAGTTAAAATTTTGAAACAGGAAGAACCACACTTTTATTTCTTACTCTTCCCGCCCACCCTTTTATGTACAACTCTTAAGTTCGTTCATATCTCTTTCAACAGAAAATCAGAAACTCTATAGGCCTAAATAAGAATAGAAGAGAGAAACAGTTTTGGTTCTTGAATATATATGGAATTATTCCTGTAAGTTACAAACAACCTAGGTTTTCTTGGGTGTCGTGTTTTTCTAATGTTTTAAGTTATTATGATTAGCATCCCAACAACCACCCAGAGCTTCAGTTTGTAACTGTTTAAATTTATTTCTAGGTATTGCATAAATATGCTGGCACGTATTGATTTCTATAACCATCATCTAGAGTTATAAACAAGTGAATACATTGCGCGTGGGCCGAACGTGGCTCATTGCTAGTGTACCGACCTGTGTATTCGAGGTATCTGGGCTCGCGACCAGTTACCACACACACAAAATCCGCACTTTTGGGTCGTGCCTGCGTTATAATAGTGACAGTCAACTCCCACTATTCGATTAGATTGTCTCAGGAGTTGGCTGTGGATGATGTTGGCTAGCACAGATAACCGTTTAGTAGCTTTGTGCAAAATTCAACAAACAAAAACTGTACAAAGAGTAACAGTCATGGAGCTTGTCACAAAATCTTCACTTTAGAAAAATGACCGGTACTTACTTTATATTAATTTATTTAAATGGGTGTTGGATAACAAGTTTGATTAGTATTATAGCTTTTGATTCAAGCTGAAACTTTAGTCTGCTGATTGATATATACACCTGGACAAAAGTTAAGCACCCC